CAGCATCTTCAGCCCCACCAGAGCCCTCTGATGCTGGGGAGCAAGGGCAGTTGGGTCTGATGCCTAGGGAGGAGCAGGACTGGTGGGAGCAGTGGTATTTGACATATGGACCCTTTAGTCCTGCTCTGGATCTGACCAAGCCTCACATGGGGAGGTCTGGTCTGGAGACTGTGTGGTGAGGTATGCAGAAACTTTGGCAAACTATCACCCAAAGACTCGGAGCTTGGGTCCCTGCTCCTCTGGGCTGGGCAACAGAGCGTCCTGGGCATCTTCCAAGCTCCTTGCTACCCACCAGGCCAACTCAGTCTACCTGGCCCTTCCTAATTCTGGAACTGGCCTGTATATGTCTCTCACCACCTTTTGGGAGACTGTTTGCTGCTGTCACCTTTTAGGCCACTCTGGGGATTCCTGTGGCTCCACCATGGGTCTCCCAGAAGGTATCTCTCAGAAGTTTCACTCCTCAGTGAAATTCAGAATCCAAAGACCTCTGAGAATCCTGATGGACTCTTAGAATCAGTAGTGACTTCAGGATCTGCGTTCTAGGTCCCCTCACACCCCTCAAGCCATCCAGAAATGTTACACTATGGGAGGCCCCAAGGGAAAATCTTTTGTAGTTTCTTGCTCTGATTCAAGTTAATGGGGTGTCGGACCACATTTTCCTCTAAGTGTGAGAATCTGGCCTAGCTGTGATCCACTGACTGGAGCTGGTCTGGCTTGTCAGGGAAGGCCTTGAAAGCCCCTGAGCGAGGCCAGGAATGGGCCCACTGATGTCACAGCAAAAGCTTCTCTCCTACCTCCCCTGGCTGCAGATTTGAGCTCAGTAACATCAATAAACAGGAACTTGTCCCCTGGGGGGTGGGGGGTGCCTCAAGACACTCTGGGACTTCCTCTCTCCACTGACCCTACCCTCCCCAGCCCAGACAGGAATCCTAGGCCTACAGCATTCATGGATCTAAGCAGGTTCTGAGGGGGGTTACCTTTCCAGCTGCACCCAGAGAAAGATGGGTGCTCTGAGAAGCAGGACCTCCTCCCTTGCTCAAGGCAGAGGGTCTCTGATGCAAACTCCTTTCCCTAGGCCAGGTGGTGGGAAAGGAAACCCCCTTCCCAGACAGGTTTCAGGGTCACCTGCCCCACTGCTACCTCTACAGACCCTCTCCTGGATGAAGACTCTAGTCCTGGGCTTTTCTCTGGGATGAGGGAGATCACTTCCCACTTTTTGTCTTTCCCTACATGCTTGCTGCTCTTTCCCTAGCTCCTTTGAGTATGTAGGGGGTCGGGGGGGTTGTCCAAATGTCCCTGGAAAGCACTGACACATGCCCTAATCTGCCATGCAGGGCCCAGAATGCAGCATAGGGGTCATCGAGGGAACACTGCCAAGGAGCTCTGGGGTGAGGAAAGAGTACCGAGGGTAGACCCAGTTCCAGGTGGAATGGCATCCTGCTCTTAGTCTGCATGGTCCCACCTAAGAGTCTCCACACTCTCTCCACCCTCCCTCCTCTGCTCACACAGAGGAGGGTCGTTTCCAAGCATTTCTGGCCTTTCAAGAGTTTTTCTGGGTGACCACAGATGCCCCTACCTGCTATTGCCCCTGTCCTGAGCCAGGGTCAGTGGATGGGGCCAGACTACTGTCTCCTAGGGTTTCCCTAACCATTCTCCCAAGGCCTTCCACAACAAGGCCTACTGAAGGGTACAGCCACATGGGAGAGAGTAGGACTATTTGCCCCCAGTCTTTGAACACCCAGGTACTTCCTGACCCTGCCCTGATTCCAGCTATAAAGTTACAGACATATAGCATAGCGCCCTCATACCCCTTTTCCTATTTGATGTCTTTCTCCCCCATCTAGAATGGAATGAAGTATGGGTTGGCCTTCTAAGGGCCATAGTGGTGGAAGGAATGACTCTGGAAAGAGTCTACAGCAAGGTCAGAGTGTTGCTCGTCTCTAGGCTCTCCCTCCAACAAGAACTTTCCTTTACATTCTGAATGCATCCCCACTGTCTGCCTGCAGCCAGGCAACAGGATTATTTTATTCACTTTGGCTCAAAGGTGACACTTCACTATATTAAACAAGAAGATGGCCTCCTTTGAACGTGCCCATTCACGTCCACTCTGATACTACCAACCACCAACCACCACAGTTTCTAACCTGAAACCTGATTGCTATTCATGAGAAGAGGTTTCACTCATGGAAGTGTGTGTGTGTGTGTGTGTGTGTGTGTGTGTGTGTGGTGGAGGGCATTTCCCAGAGGGCTCCAACTAACAGTCAATTTCAGGATCAGTAACAGTGGGCAACTCTATCTCACCCCACTGTCTGGTTGGGGCAGTGAGGAGAGTCCTGGACAACTTTCTCCTCCCCGGATCAAAGCCACAAGGGGGACATGCCCACAGAACCTTCCACCCCAATATTTATCAATCCTACATTTTGTAGAAGACCCAGGAATTCGGTTTTCCTCTAGGACTGGGAGAAAGAGCTAAAAAACAGAATATGGATGGAAGGGATGAGCAAGTGGGGTACAAATGAAGAGGAGGAGCTCCTGCCATCCACAGATAGTGACCTGTGCCCATCACCTAGTCAGGCCCACCCATGACGAAAGGGGCTTGGGGCAGGCAGCAGGGAAAGGGGCACAGGGATCCTCCTGGAGTTCCATCACCCTGGTCCCTGGGGGTCAGCCTTGCTCCACAGGCCTCCTTTTTTCAGGATCCCCAGACATGTCTTCCGCAATACCCACATTCCAGTGTGGCAGCACGCATCCTGTCCACCACTTCTCTCACCCCATAGCCCTCAGAAATCCTGCCGGTCTGCTGAAGAAGACTCTCTCTCAATATCACAGCCATCACTGACAGGTCCAGCTGTGGCCCTCTCTTACAGTCCCCATCTTCACCCCAGCTCTTCATTACAGAACTGGCAGGCTCACCCCTCCTTGTTTTATCATGCTAGCCTGAAGGCTCAGCTCTCTGGAAGAGGGTCACTTAGGGTCTTGACTTATACAAATTTCAGTGCTAAACCTGGGATATTGCTAGGAAAACTAGCATAGCTGGTCACCCTAGTGTCATTCTCCTCCTAACCCTTCTGAACCGTGAGGCAGGTTCCACACACATGACCTTAATGGCTTCCCATCTCCTACCCACACCCTGAGTTACAGTGAAGGCCATGTTACTTTGTTCCTTTTTGTGTTTTGGACCCAGTTCCTGTTGGGTGCTATAATCCCACTCCTGCTCTGGGCTGGTCCCACAAGGTCCTATCCACTTGGCAGATATTGTGATCCCATTCAGCAGTCATAGTCTGAGGTCCAGATAATCCTCAAATTTGGGCCCAAAGCATTTTCTCAGATCAAGGAAAACCTGCTGGGCTGCCCCTCATAGCTGAGATCCAAGCAACTATCCCTAGGCCTCCCACAGTCCTTCACCCATCCCATTCCCTCCTGGGGTTTTGCACCCCAAGTGTCACAGGCTCCATTCTCTTCATGTAAACATCTTAATTACATCTTTAATGTTCTCACACATAGAGATGCTGTGAGTTAAATTACAGCTTTGTGCATCCTAAATTACCCGCAGCCCTCCAGTCTCAAGTGCTAAAGTATTTATAGCATCTAGAGGAGGGAATAAATCCAGAACCTTCCCCCACGAGGGACTTCTAGGCCCTCACCTTCTGACATGTGGTATTTGCCTGATGGAAGATCTGTACATGCCACCCCCCACGTCCCCTCCAACCAGCAGGGGACACAATGGTGGCGAGACTGAGGACACGCTTTTGCGTGTGCTCGTGTATGCGTGCATTCCCAGTATAGAAAAACTTTCCAGTCTCTTCCCAGTGTCTTTTTCAGATGCCCCTGACCCTCCAAGGCTTAGGGGAAGGCCAAGTTCAGAGACCCTCTTACCCACTCCATGAACACTGAGTGGCCTTTCCCATAGATGGGAAGAAGGGGGAATTTAAAAAATGACCATATTTCTTAGGTCTTTTCCTCAAAGGGCAACCCTTCCAGTTAGTCAGATCTACCTACACCAGCCTATAGCCTATGCCCACTGCCCTCAGACTAACAGCCTCTCCCTGAACACCATATCCCTGATATAGTCAGGAAGCTGTTTCCAGAAGCAAGTCAGCCTAGCTTTTAGAACCCATTGAAGAAATGCAGTGAACAGTAGAACCTGGTTTGGAGCTCTCCCTAGAGTCCCTGAACAATAAAAGCCAAGGGAATGGCACATCCCAATATTTCACTACGTGCCATAAGGTAGGATCAACTTGATGGTGACTCCAATGCAGAGGGTTTCCATCCTGACCCCTGTCCTGGGGCAAGCATGTGTCTGCATGTGTGCACATGTATGAGACCTTGCAGCAGGTCTGGGGGGCTGCATACCTCCACACCCAATCCCCCAATTCCTTCTCCCTTAGCTTCCACCCTTTCTTGAATCCAACAAATGGCTGACTTCCAGGGATGTGTTGCTAGGAGACCCCATGGACCTCCTGTAATATGGATGGGCCCTGAGTGTGAGCAGCCCTTTTGGCATCTTGCCTACTGGGCAGTTTCAGCTGTATCCCTGGGCCTCTCAGGGCCTATAATAGGTGCTGCCCTACTCTGTCCCTGTGACCTAGGTGGTTGCCTTTTGCTACCCAAGAAAAGGGTCTAGAATAAAAAACAAGTCTCTCCCAGACAGAGGAGAACCCCTCTCTTCTCCATCACGGTCCTCTCCTCCTTCCCTTCCCAACCTTCTCCCCCACCAGCCATCTCCTTCACATTACAGAGGCAGACTTTGATATGAGGGGTGTGGCCAAGAGACCAGGAACACAGTAGTGGCTCTCAACTTTCCTGTATGAGGGATGCCCTTCATGCTAGGATTGTCAGGTCAGGAGAGGTCAGTGGTTGGGTGGTTAGACAGGCCAGGGCTCTCTCTTCAAGCCTGGAGGGTCAGCAGGTGAATCTGCAGAACAGCTGGGGCCTGGCCTGGCCCTTCCTTCTTGGCAGCACAGGTCCTGAGAATAGGTCTTGACAGTCAGTGAGTGGGCACCTCTGTGGGCACTGTGATGATGTCTCTGTCAGAAATCCAGGCCTGTCCTTAGGCTGCTCACGCATGGATGGCATTGGCTACATCAGTAAATACCAGCCGGCTGGGCCTCTGCAGCGGGCCCTGAGAGGGGAGAGTGCTCTGCAGGGAGACAGAGAGGGGCATCAGAGACCTTGACCAAGGCTATGTACGCTCTGGCCCAGTCACTTCCACACTGACTTCCTTGGCACCAGCTATACCTTCTGCCTGGAATGCCCTCCCCACAAGCTCAGCCTAGAAATCTGACCAGGCTCAGATGACTCTCCACCCTGCCTCACCCCCCCACACACACACCCAAACCATTGCCAACTTACTCTGTCACCTTGCAGTACTCACTGTGGGATCCAGGCACTAAATTAACTATGCATGCTTAGCTTTCTCCCAGCAGGAAAGATCTCGTCTCTGTACGCTCTCCCCCCAAACAGGGGCCCACACAGGGGAGGTGCACAAGAAATAACTATCAAATTATAATCTACCCAGCCTCCAGTGATGCTGGAGGCTGGGTAGATCAAGATTGTCAGTGTGATTTCTGAACATCCTAAGGGTGCAATGTGTCCTGACCCAAATGACACAGAATTGGCAGCAAAACCAAGGGGTTTCCAGACTCTCAGCTTCAATTCTTCCTGAGTTCAGGAAACTGCAAAGAGGTTGGATGGATTGGGGTGAGTTCAGCCCCTTCACGGTTATCTGGCCCTTGGAGATTTGGGGGCTTGGTAACAAGTGGTCAGGCATCCCAGTGGTTCTGGCAGGATAACCACATGGGTGTCTATCCCTTTGGATATAGAAGGTGTGTTTGGCTGAGGTCACCACTGGCCTTGGACTGTAAATGACTAGGATCCACTAGCCTACTTGGAGGTGCCACTGCCAAACACTCTGACCACATCCACAATTCACTCAGGACCATGAAACCTCAGGGAGCAGAGGAACCCAGGGTTCTGGCCCCCAACAATCTCACCATCAGTCCTTTCCTGTTTTCCCAGACAGCATGGGCTGGGGGAAACACAGGGCAAGAATTAGGATTTTTATTTGCAGTTGAGAAAACTAGGTTCAGAGATACCAATGGGACTTACAAGACAAGCAGGCTATCAGGGCAGAACCAGGATGGATCCCAGGGCTGTCCCTAGTCTGGCTTGGCCTTGAGCAGTGAGTCTATGAGGGCCATAGAACAATTCCATCATTTCTGAGTAGACTTGACAAGATTGATATACCCAATAGTGGCCACCTGACCTCCTGGCAGGTGCTGGCAAACTGCATGGAAAGGATGGAGGGTGGAGTGGAGATATGCTGGCTACAGGATGGATGGGGAACCTGGTCAGTGCCCACCTTGCCCTGCGTGGCCTGCAGAGAGGCAGCAGCTTGCACAGACGCCGCATCCCGCCCATGCTCCAGCAGTTCCTGCTCCAGTTCATCTTGCTCCTCTGTGGGGTCAAAGCTGTACATGGGCATGAGCTGATGGCGCAGCTTCTCCAGCCTGTGAGTGAGGCAGATGCTTCTGAGGTCAGAGTAAGCCCTTCCTCTTCCCAGCTCCCACGTGCTGCCTGCTGGCCGGGTGAACCACAACGCACAACTATGATTTGGGAGCCTGACCTTTCCCTTGGGATTCAATCACAGACATCTTTGCCTCTACAGTACCAGCTCTTCCTTGGATGAGTGGCATAGGAAGTTAGACACTCCTGGGACTACATGACCAGAGGCTATGTACCTGTCATCCATAGGGTCCACAGGGGCTCCCTGGGCCAGGGTTCTGCTGCAATCTATAGCCTCTGGGGGTTGGGGTGAGGGAAGGGGAGCCAGTAGCAGTCAGTTAAGGGCAGCAGGACAAAGGTCGTTAGGCAGCTGGGTGGAGATAATCTCCAGAGTTTCTCCCTGTCCCCCGCAATTCCAGGGTTATACCTAGTTACCCAGAATCTTCACATCTGCCTGACTATATGTGAGACACTAGTGGGGGCCCTCAACTCTAGCTGAGGTAAAGTGGTCACCCCAAACCCTGAGTGGGCAGAAGAGGCCCTGATTCTCTGACCAGGGAGAGGGGCCCCAGTGATGGAGACTCTTTCTCCTTCCTTACCCACATCCCCTGGAGTTGAGACCAGCCCACCCCTGCCCAGAAACTAAAGTTTTAAGTAGAAACTGGGGAATTACCTCTTCTTCTTCCTGATATACAAAACCTGCAAAAGAAGAAGCAGCATCAGATGGTGAGGAAAGGAGGCCCTGATTGACTCAGCAGGCCCTGAAGTCAGGGGGCTGGGTGGAGGCTGATGAGTGGGAGGCTTATGTCCTCAAGGTCTTCATCCAAGTGACATAGACGTCCTACATTCATACCTTCCTCTGATGTCTTTAGATGCTGACAGTGTCCAGACTGGGTCTGAGGACTCAGCAGTAGGAAAACCACACTTATGCCTGGCTGGGGGCTGGTGGGCCCCAGATCTCCAATACTGACTGTAGCTTTGACAGTGTCTCCTTAGGACCAAAGGAGAAGGATCAGACTTGGGACACCACCCTGGGGAGGGACTCCAAGGACCTCTGCTACCATCTTGTTCTTCCCCAACTGGCAGTTTCTGTCAGGGAATATGACTGCTTCTGCCTGAGGGAAAGCCATATCACCAGAGTCTGTCCTAAATCCTCTCTAGCTCTCACGCTCTTTGTAGCATACCCACAGCTTGAATCTGACTTGGTTCCAAGTCTGGCCCAGGGCTTCTCTTGTGGGACCGCAAAGGCCTGAAAAGAAACTAGAGTGTCCCGAGCTACCTCTCGCCTTCCAGAGGGTCACATGAGGGTGGCACTTCTTGCTCTCGTGTGAGTAGATTCAACAGGAGCTCTGGACATTCTGGGTCAGCCCCTGCCATCCTGAGCAAGTGACTCTAGCCACAGCATCCTATGCCCTTTTGCCTTGTGGCCCTCACTCCAAATCCTCCTCCCTCCCCTGTGGCCTGTGATTCAGAAGGAGCTTCAGGAAAAGCCAGAAACCTTCATCCAATCTCCATGCCTTTGCTCTGTTACTCCCTCTGCCCCAACTGCTGCCATGTTCCCACCTTCCTTTCCAAATCTTCCCACTTCTCACTGTCCAGCTGCAGCCTCACCTCCTCCAAGAAGCCCTCTCCTGCTCCTGACTGTACCAAGCATTTTTCACACTTCTGTGTGAGACATGAAGCTGGCAGTGGCTTACTCCTCATTGCACCTATGGCCCGACTCAGGGATGGTACAAGGGGAAAGGAAGTGGCATTTAGGGGACACTTCTAAAATTCTTTTCTCCTATAACCTGGAGGCATTTCCAACTCTCCACTGCCTTTGCCCCATAACCTCCTACCTCTCCACCTTTGTCAGAAGGTCACCACCTTGATCCTTTGAATGTTCCTCTAGAACAAAGGGGCCTTTACCACATTCCTAGGACAAAATCATTTGCCAAGAGTAACCAGGCAGATTCTAGGCTATTTCGCCCTGAAGTCAGGGTGCCCCAGTCTGCTTAACTACCACGTGGGTATCAAGGGAAAACACTGGTGTTCTGGCTTGCTCCTGCCCTCTCAGCCCTGGCCTTGCTCTGCATTTGCTGCATCCTGGCCCTATTTGCTGGCCAGTAGTTGTTCCCTGACAGCTGTCTGGAGCCTGCAGGGCCCATATGGTAACCCTGGATTAACATCATTGTCAACCAGGCCATGGATGGACTGTTCTGGTCTTTATTTTTCTGGCACCAAGGATTTGAACCTAGGACTTTGTGCCCATTAGGCAAGTGCTCTACCACTGAGCTACAAACCCAGTTCCCCAACCAAGCCCTATTTGTCAGAGCTCCTGAGCTTAAGGCCAGCCATCACAGCCTGGTGGCATTCTGCCATTGCAGGCCCTCTGGGGGACCTCAGGTGTAACCTGCTTCCTGTACAATCTTCACTGGTCCTTTAGTGACCATCTGAGTGCTTATATCACTATTGGGGGATACCTACAGCTCTCCAGCTCATCTTGGTTCTGATGGCCACCCAACTCTGCTCCTTCTTATGACACTGAGGCCATGCTCTCACCTTGAGTCTCAGCTCAAATGTTGCTTCCCAGCTGTCCCTGACCATACAGTCTAGATAAAAAACCCTTGACTTTTAACCCATTCCTCATAAGAACCACAGGGTAGGACCTCATCTTCCCAGCCCCTGTTGGGTCCCAGAGGTAAGAGCGTGTACTCAGTAAGTAATTGTCAAGTGAATGAGTGAACGAACACTGCCTACAGCTTGCAATGCCCAGAGCATCACACCCAGATTCTGCAGCCCCAAATCCATTCCAACCACCTCTGCCTCTACTCTTAATGCAATTTCCCCTTTGCCTCACTGTTCTGCTTGCTGTTCACAGAACCTCCTGCCTTTCTCAAACTTCTGCCTCTTAGGAACACCTCTCTCTGGAACACCCTCCTCCCCAATTCCAATGTGGACTTCATTCCTCAATTCAAAACACCTTGTATTTTTCAGAATTTTATCTGGTTTTTCCAACAAGAATTGCCTCTCTGGTTTATGGGCCCCCAGTTGATAAACATCGATGGGGGTAGGAAGGAGGATTGTATTATCATTGATGGACAATTGTCTTCTGTTTTTGTAAATCTAAACACTGACCAGCCTCAGCCTGCCCCAGCTCTCACCATGGCCACAGCCAGGCCAATCACTGTGATGATCCCAAAGGACAGAAGCATGGTACCCACGCCACCTGTGCCACCTGGCACGTCAGGGATTCTGGAGTCATTGAAGCTTGTAGTTTCTGGGGTGAGGGTGGTAGTCTCTGAGGTGGGTCCATCAGTGGCAGGCTCCAAGTCAAGCTCAGTGGTGGGTGGGTGGCTGCTGAACCAGCCCTGAGTAGACAGAATCCTGGCATTCATGCTGATGCTGAGAGACCACCTGTGTTCAGTCAACCTGCCCACTGATTTCTGATATCAGAAGTATCCAAGTCTGTGGCTTCTACCATCTGTGGTAGTCAACTGCACAGCAGCCCCCTTGATAAAGGGAGTCTCCTGCTTGCCTTGCTCTGGAAAGGAAAGGATAAAAACATGATTTTAAAGATAGCTGTGGGATGAAGTTCCTCAGGATTCTAAAGGTACTAGGAAAGTAAAGGCTTGAGGGCAAGGGCAAGGGTAAATTCAAGGGCATTAGGATACATTGCTTTATATATCTATAGTTCCTATGTAGGCTTAGGAACATGAAAATGAAGCCCTGTCACCTCTGGTGTGGGTAAGATGATCATGGATCATATCTAGAAGATAGGAAAGGTAACAGGGAGGTTTGAAAGAAAAAGCTCCTTCCCTGAGCAATTATCTCCATATCCCATATTCTTCCCCTCTCCACCTGCTCACTCCCTGCTACCCATATCCCTCATCCTGCTTGTGAAAAAATAACTCCATCATTTTCCTTCCCTGGTGGGAAACACTTGCCCAGGAGTCAGGCCTATCTTTGAATCCTGTCTGGGCTCAGCCACTTAGTGATTCTAGTCAAGTCACTCCTTCAATCTGTCTCACTTTTCCTAAATCTAAGGTGAGGATATCAAGAATAACCCCAGGGCAGGGCACGGTGGCCAGACCTATAATCTTAGCTACTTAGGAGGCAATCAGGAGGATCTTGGTTCAAGACCAGCCTGAACAAAAAAGTGGGAGACCCTATCTGAAAAATAATCTAAAACAAAAACAAAAACAAAGTTCAAACTCCAGTACTGCCAAAAAAAAAAAAAAAAAACCACAGTGTTATAAGGTCAGAATAAACAAGTCCCTAGAAAAGACTTAGCACAAGCTATGTTCACAATGAGCACCCAGGAAATGTTCCATCTTCTCCCCTGGCCAATCCAGTTAGGAAGGTGGAGGGTACAGGAGTCCCTGGACCCAGTCTGCTGTGTGGTCCAGGCTGTGCTTGGAGTTGGGGTAGGGGCTTGTGTGGAGAGATCAGGAGACAGGAAGGAAAGGCTAGGCCAGATCCTCTGGTAGGGTTCTCTGCAGGCTTTTGGGGTCACTGGACCACTCCTCTTCCCTCACAGGGGATCTGGAGGCTGTTAGGGATAAGAAGCAAGGCAAAAGGAGAAAATCTTGGAGGTAGGGATAGAGCTCCTATTTTAAAGTGCCTCTCTTTCCCTCCTCCTCTGGATTCAAAAGGTACAAGATTTGCCCAGCCTGGGTAAGGCAGGGGTGGGAAGGGGTCCCAGCCATGCTGCAGACAGTCAGGCCTAGAGAGAGGAGGAATTCCTAGCTCATAGCTGCACATATGTCTCTCTGTGTGGTTCATGGGTGTACATGGGATGCCTCCTTGGGCAGGTGCAAGGATGTGTATGAGATGTGCACACATCAATGATGGCCCCTTAGGAAAGGGCAAGGCTGGCAGAGGGACATGTGTAGGGTAGATTCATCTTCCCTGCTCTCCCGCTCTAGTGAGGCTAAGATAAGGGTTTCAGGTTCTTTTCCTGGCTCTGCCACTGACCCCAGGCATGACCTTGGGCCAGACCCTTAACTTGCTCTTGGGGTTCTGCTTACTCCTCCTCCCAAACGAGAGAAGGCACTCTGCTGACCAATTTCTGGGCCTGCCTCCTGGTCCAAAGGTGAAGAGAAACCGGATGAAAGAGGTGGGCACCACGACCTCCGAGAACCCGCATGCCGTTCTCTACCTGGTCCCTCAGTCCTCCCTGCCTCACCCCCATACCCGCTTCCACGACCCTTGGATTCCTCCATTCTTGTTCAGAAGCAGCGACCTCAGCACTTACTTAATCCTCTCCGGGGAGCCGAGTTCAATCTGAGAGGCTAGGGGCGACGGGTGGGAGGCCAGGGCTGGGGGAGCATCCAGGCCCAGCGTTGGGGGTGACAGGTCGGACCCGAGGTTCGCCCTCCCTGCACGCTCCAAGTCGCTGGCCAGGCGGGCTACTGCACTCTGCCAGCAGCAGAAAGCGCCGGCTGTCAGCCCAGGCTAGGGTGGGCAGGGCCGGGACCACAGAGGGGGTGGGGCGGGGCGGAGCAGCCTCTGGGGATCCCCTAAGCTCCAGCACCTCGCCTCCCGGCCCTCTCCGAGCCCCCGGACCAGATTGGCTGTTAGACCTAGAGCCCGCCCAGTATTGGCCCGCTCACGTGTCGCTCGGATATGGCTCCGCCCCCGGCTCTCCAGCGCTGAGAGCCCGGAGCTGGGAGCCAAGAGCCGGGAGCCAAAAGCCGAGAGCCAAGAGACAAAAGCCGGGAGCCGGGCTCTCTTGAGACCACCGCTGACCCAGGTGGCCTGCACTGAAGTCCGGCAGGGGACCGTGAGTGACCAGATTCTTTTTGGGCCAGAACTTAGGCTCCTGGCCAGCTCCACCTGCACAGGGACAGACCCGCTCCCCAAAAGACGCAGACGTCCAGAGGAGGCTTGGGGAGAGCACTGGACAGGGAGTTCTTTGGGCCTGAGTTGAACTCTGGCTTGACTCTCTACTGATTTCGACCTGGAGCAAGCTTCTGACCCATCTTGTGTCTCGCCTTCGTAATGATTCTCACCGTGGGCTAGAAGTGGGGAATCTTCACTCGAGAGAAGTTGAGGGCAGGATGGAATCATCTAGGTGGTATTATTATTTGGAATTCCAACCTAAGCAAGTCTACCCCTCACAGTAGCTTCCATCCACAGCATGATCATAGCAGGGGAGAAGCTCTCAGACATCTTCTAATGCACAGGTTTTTAAAGGATCTTACGGGGATCCTGGGGTAACCAGGTGCCTGGAAGCCACGTGTTTAGTAGTAGTTTATTTAACAGTGACCTAGTTAACTGTAGATTCTGAGAGGGGGTGTCACTAAACCATACTTTAGCAACTGAGACCCAGAGAGGTCGGAATATCTGGACAAAGCCTCGCGACGAGTTCGAATCAGTATTCGAACCCAGTTCTTCGGCATTCAGTTTACAGTTCCCTGCTCCAAATCCTACATTCAAGTGAAGTCAAGGGCTCATGGAGTGGCTCAAGTGGTAGAGCGTCTGCCTAACAAGCGTGAGGTCGTGGGTTCAAACCCCAGTACCGCAAAAACAAAACAAAAATTTCAAGTGAGGTCGAGAGGTCCCAGGGTCTGGTCATCATTCGGTCACCTGCTACTCCATTGCCCTCCACTGAGTCCATCTGCGCGTGAAGCTGCGGATGTCGAGGGCGTGGAGTTCACAGCCTTCCCACCCTTCAGTCTCCCGGACCGCGCGGGAGGGAGCAGGGGGCGGGGCGGCGGGGTGGGGAGTCACAGCATTAGGAACGCTGGAGCTGGGCAACAGGGTCTACCCGAGCCCTTTCTCAACTGCACCGACCCGGAAGTGGGCCGTGGGAGGGAGCACATGCGGGATGCGCAAATCCGGCTACGGATCCTAGGGTCGTTTTCCTCTGAGGGTGGGTGGTTGGGGATCGGGGGCGGGGAAGCGGGGCGGTCAGGTTGGGCACGCGTGGTCTGCAACACCTTTGAGACCTGGCCGGCCCCATAGTACAGTTAGGGAAACAGGCTCGGAGAGAGGCGACTTTGATAATACCCATGAGGAGCTGGGAAGTAGGCTGCCTTCCGACTTTGGGCTTCGGCTCCTTCACGGGACAGCGCACCGGTGGACAGTCGTCTCTGGAGTCTGGCAGACCCGGATTTGTGTCCTGCCTAGGGCAGTTCCTAGCTGTGTGACCGTGGGCAAGTCGCTTCCTCCCCCGCCCCGGAACCTGCTTGTCTGAGAATGTGACAATTAGCAGGAGCAGAGTAAATGCTAGTTTAGACCTTAATTCTGTCTGGGAGTAAAGGAGACCACTGATTTAAAACCAGTTAAACTTGTTTGACAACTTAAATATAACATTTTATTTATTTATTTTTAAGCTGACAATGTATGCTAACACCTGGGATTATGAGTTAAATTAGAGGGAAAGTTTCAGCATCCACATAATGATAGTACATATAAAATATCACAAACAAAGCTCCCTAGCAAGTCTTCTTCCACTTGAAGCATTAGTTAAATCTTGTAACATCAAATTCCTGTGTGGTGAGCTAGTTTCAAGGCCCTTGACATTCATTGACAAAGGCACCCTCCCCATGGAATTGGTATTATTTGCCCCAACTGGAGGAAACTGGAAATCAGAAATAGTGATGTGATGTACCCAAGAACAAACAAACACACACACACACACACACACACACTAGGTTCAGACAGATTTTTTCCTATCCTCAAACCTATGCCTTGACTATTTATTAACAGGGTCTGAGCTACAGGTTCAGCCTGCTTCAACTGAAAATGTGAAGAGCACAATTGGCCAAGACAAGAAGAATCAAATAGGTGGGTGAGGGTCTAAATGGAGCCAAGGAGGTGACCAAGAAAAAGGGTATCCTCCAGCAACTCCTGATTCTCCTCTCCCTCAACCTAGGGTGGCAAACACAACTGAGGACCAAAACATTGTGGGGAGCAGAGCTTGTGCCTCTCCATCTCCACCCAGCCAGGGCCAGCACCTACCCCAGCAGCTGACATTACGAGGAAGACTTGGGAACCTAGGAGCACTAAGAGAGCCTTTTCCTGAGAGATGAAACTTTGGGGCCAAATGCTGAGGGCCCTCCTGTCCAGTTCTAGGGGAAGGAGAGGAGGCACCTGGGGCTGGGCCTTCAGCTCATGGCCGTCCCATCCATCTCTGGCAGGGCTGTTGAGTGCTACAGGGGTGGTCAACCACTGGACAAGGGTCTTTGAGAAGAGAGGCATCCCAGAGGCCCAGGAATCCAGTGAGTACATCGTGGCTCATGTCCTCGGAGCTAAAACAGTTAAGTGCGGTGTTGTCAAAAGGGTGGGAAGAGGAAGAAGGGAGAACTCTGGGAAAGTGACATCAGGCTTTTGGCTTCACCAAGGTTGCTTAGCTGAGACAGGTGAGATTTTTCTAAAGGAATGTCTTAAGCAGATACTTAACTCAATTATCAAACAAACTGTTACAGTATGTGCAGATAGTACGGGTTCATGGGTGTCTGAAGCTTGGCCCATAGACATTGTCCACATAAGAAACCTGGGTTGGGGTCCCTGAACCAATGGAGCCATACACTTATATTATCTGTGGGGACAGTTTCAGAGCCTGAAGCCAGTACTTTGGACCCAGCCACTGACCCCTCAGCAGCTGCAATGCATCCAGGAGCTGTGTAGCCGCCGACTGCAGAGGTGAGCACCCATGGGCAGACCTGAGGCTCTGTGTGTAGAGCAGGGATCCAGCCTCCCCTAATTCTACCAAGTTCATGATCGGGGGAAGAAAGTATCCAAGGATTAGGGAGGTGTTGGGGTGAGGGAATGGCAAGAGGGGGGCCAAGGTAGTAAGCAGGAAGAAGAGAGAGAAAGCAGGCCTGATTTAGGGATCCTAGGGCACTGGAGCCATGACCCTGGCTGACAGCCTTGGCCACAAGTGGTTGCCCTCAACCCAGGCATAGTCTTATTATTCCTGGCTTTGACACTGATGACCACCTTACTGCCCTTACTGTAGGATGCCTGTGCAGTACATCCTTGGGGAGTGGGACTTTCAAGGACTCAGTCTGAAGATGGCACCGCCAGTGTTCATTCCTCGGCCAGAGACAGAGGTGAATGTGCAACTGGGACAAGACAGGAAGGAGATGAGTGTTCAAGATACCCGCCTTACCTTATTTTTCCTCCAGGGGGTGCTGGAGCTCTATTACTGCCATCCTCAGAAGCAGTACCCTTTTTAGACATATGTCTTCTTGCTGGCTGGGTTGGCAGGCCCATGAAGATAGAAGACTCCTATTGCCCCATTCACTTGACTGTTCTCACATCCTAAGCTACTACCCCAGCTCCCAGGGCCAGCAGTAACTCAGACAGAGTGTCCCAAATAGTGCTGCCCAAGTGCTCAGCCTGTTCTTGCCATTTCCTTAGGAGCTATCCTTTGGGCCCATAACCTACCAACTCATGGGAAACAAATGTCCTCCAGGAATGAGGAAAGTGGAGAAGGCTCTAGTTGGATACCGGAGGCCTGGTATGAGCTGTGTGACCATAGGCAAGTCACTATCCCCTTGGGCTCAGATACAAAAGGGTCAGACCTTCAGACCAGGTAATCTGTGACTTGTTGGTCCTCTTAGATCTACTGTCTTGTCAGGTAATTACCTATGACAATTCCTCAAATTACTAGAACTGTGACTCATGCATGCTGTCCCTTGGCGAGGCATCCTGATTCTGGGAGAGATGTTTTCAATGGTCCTTCATGGACTTACACCTTATTTTGTGGATGGCAGAGCTGGGAATCAGAGGGAGCAGATTAGGGGGTAGTGCTGGGCTGTGTGAGGGCTAGTGGTTAAATCAGAGGGCACCAGGCTCCAAGAATGGTTGTTTCTGGAAAGATATCCAAACACACAAATATTCCTGGAAAGGATCAGGCCCCTTTCTACCTTCCCTAGATAGAGTCCCTAAGCCTTCCTTTACTCTCCTACCCTCTGTTCCCCTGCCAAAAAACCCTTTGACCCTTTTCACTGTCATATCATGTGGCTGGGAAACTGGATCCTCACATCACTGCTCAGTGTTAGGGCAGGAACAGTAGGAAATCTGAGGCTTTAATGAAGTCACAGGGCCATCCAGGTGGGGAATATAGGGCAGCACTTGGACTTCCTGACTCCTCATATGGGTGGTCCCATCTAGGATTGGCCTGACCTGGGAGACTAAGAGTAGGATATGGCCTGCCACCTGTAGACTTTGGAGACACCCTGAGGCTCCCCAAAACATGTGGCTTTTTTCCAGGAGGCGACTTGCCCTTCCCTAAGGCTGCCAAAGGTCAGGGCATGGGAGGTCAGCTACCATGGTGACCTTTGAGTACCTTTGGAACTGACCTGGCATCAGCCATGTGTTCTGGGATTCTGAGTTTTAGTGTGAGCTTCTATCTCCCATGTGTGCCCCCCCCAACACTTTCTTGAGTGGGACTGGACCAGAAAAGCAGTTTCTCTGCAAGAGGAGGGGAAGAGGGGAGGGCACTGTGGTTGGGAGGCCAGGTCCTTACCTCACTGTACAGACATTTCTGAGAACTCACCAGGTTTGCCCCAATGTGAAGCCGCACTAGGGCGGGGGTGCCTTACCAAGAACTCAAGAGGACGTGGCCTGCGGCGGGCAGAGAGTGGGGAGAATGGGTGCAGAGGAGGATTGCAGTGTCTCTGTTCTCTCCATCCATTGAAGGGTGGTTTCTGATGATGGGTGTGAAAGTCTGAAATGCAGAGTTGCAAGTGGCTTGTGGCCTGATGAGTTGGGTTTTCCCTGGGGGGGGTGAGAAGTTGGTTGAATCTCCTACATGGCAGTGTGTACAGTAGGAAACTCAAGACTTGGGTGCAAGCCATTCCAAGCCCACCTGGTGTGGTGAGGCTGTATACATTGTGAGAGGCTCAGTGTTTTGTCTGCAATTGATTTTGGGGTGGCAATGCTACCTTCCTGGGGCCATCTCAGCAGGGATGTGATCTTAATGGAGGGTGCTCTTGGTACTCAGGTCCTAATAATGCCTTGGACTATCTTCTCTAGTGGGTGTAGAGTCCATGTTGGGACAGTGGCTCCAGGCAGAGCCAACAGTTGCCGACTCTCTGCCTCCTTCTCTCATGCTCCTGCCCTTCCATCCTACCATGCTCCTGAATTCTTCCCATGCTCACCTGGGGGAGTTGCCCTGGGCCTGTGACAGCTTAGCTTTTGGCGTCCCCCAGAGAGCAACCACTTCAGACCGAACGAAGATCTTCACTGTGTGAGGAAGATGTTTTTAGACTTCTTGGAGATAGTTGTCACCTGTGCCCCCTAGATGGTCTCACAACCAAGATGAACTTCCCATGGTCTAGAGTGGAAGGTAGATCAAGAGGCCACTGGTGATGATGGGATCCAGTCTCTCAGGCTCACACCCTGCTCCAGGTGGCCATTCATATAGTGAATGTATGTCTGAGGTCAGGGACATCTCTGTGAGGTGGCTGGCCTGTGTGGCTGACTGAGGGGTCATTCTCCAGCCAGACTGGGCTGTCTGTGGCCAGGAAACCCAGAGACTCACACCCCTGACAAGTCTTCATCATCCTGCCTGCCTTTCAGCACGTGGGCTCACCACAGGCTCTCAGCCACAGCCCTAGACTGCACGCTGTGTGCTGGTCCTAACACTGTGGGCCCAGCTTGCTACACGCACTCCAGTGGTCTCCACCTGTGCCTGGTATAGGGCACAGGGACTAAGTGAAGGGAAGCCCTCCCCTGTGGGAGTTGAGCTCCTTTGCCTGTAGGCAGTAGCTTTCTTAGTGCAGTGAAGGGCTGGAACCACTGCCAGCTTCTTCCAGCTCTGGAGTTGTTACTCTGGAGTAGCTTTGCTACTGAGGTTGGGGGACCTGGAAGGATGAAATACTTTGGGAGACTCAGCACAGTGAACCTATAAGGCAAATGGATCTGAGTGACCTGGAGCCATCTGCCCCATTGGGCCTGGCTGGTGCCCATTAGAAGTTTGGGAGAACATGGGGATGTGAGACTCAGAGGATGGCTTTGCAGGGTCACAGAGACCTTGTCTAGCACTTGAAAAGTAGCATGGGGCCCCTCATCAGGCAAGCCCTGCTAGTGGGACACACTGTGATGGGTCAGACCCCAGGTCTTCCCATCATGGTGTCTGGTGGGAAGAGACAAGCTCCATCCTAGATCTTCGGTGGGTAGGTAGGGCTGAGGAGGGCTGATCTTTAGGGTGGGTAGGGGCTGAGGAGGGATTTCTGGAGAAGGTGGACCTATTTTCAGATGACAGAAGCATGTACATGCTGCCCTCCTCCCAGTTCCCTGAGCCAGTGCTGACTGGGAGCTGGGATCCCAGTAAAGCCTAAGTCTCTGCCTGTGTTCAAAGGGATGCCTCTGAGAAGGGACCACACTGCCTTTTCCCTATTCCATTCCTTATTCTATTCCTTGGACCTCCTGCTCTCCTGCTGGTAGGAAACATTTGAGCCATTGGACAGCAGCATCCCTCTATGTTGATAACCATACACAGTTCCTTTGGGCAGCAGATGGTGGACAAGATTTAAAACTCTATCCAAAGTGAAACTATCAGAAAGTGTCCTCCTGCTGCCAAGGTGGGTATAGTTCACACCTCCTATCACACCCATGCTTATGTGTGCTACAGCCCTCTTCAGGTATGAGTCTTAGAATTGTGTCCCTGTCCAGTGGAGGGAATTTCTTGTCCTTTTGGCCTGGGAGCCTTCCTGGGGTCCTTCCAAACTCAGCTCTGTGAGGAAGTTGGGGACACACCAGCCCCTGATTTTTTGTGTATATGTGTGCTGGGGATGGAATCTAGGGCCTTGCATGTGCTTGGGAAGTACCCTGCTGCTGAGCTGCACCCCGCAACTCCCAGCCGCTGAACAGTAGGCAGGGCCTTGATCCTCAGGCTTTCGGTTTCCTCCTGGCCAGTTGTGAGGATCCAACAAATTAATACAGGGAAAGCTCTGGGAAGGGATAGGCACAGAGAGTAGCCATCAGGTATGGTTCTCAGCATTTCTGTGAGCACAAAATGGGAGGATGTATGGAAAGGGCTTAGCTGGGGTTTATTGTACACTGGTCATGCAACAAATGTGATTCTGTTTAATACTTACCATATTCCCACAAAGAGGGTGATCCTCAACTGTTCTCAGTTTTACAGATGGAGAAACTGAGGCATGGAGAGGCAGGGTGACCTACCTACAGCCCCAGCTAACACGAAGGTCAACCTGGCTTTGACCATCTCTGTCTACATTCACACAGGACTAATTGCTTGGGCCTCTTTGCCAAGACCCTCAGAAGGTAGATTGGTATTAAGTTTGATCCAGATTCTCTGTGTCACAGGAACTTGTTGAATGGGTGCTGGAGGAGATTGCCCAGAGATCCTATGTAGTGAAAGGCCAACATGGCCCCCTCATTCTGGAGGTAGGCTGTGGATCGGGAGCCATCTCACTCAGCCTGCTGAGCCAGCTCCCTGAGGTAAGCCCCCTCTGTATCCCTCTATCCTATCCTGACCAGACAGTGATTGCCGCTCATTGTCCTTCCCATTAGTCCCCACATCCCTCTGCTAGAAGCACTTAAGGGAAAGTGACTGGACAAACCAGCATGGTCACAGCCTCTAACTACTATCCCCATCTGTCTGACTAGATCCTGGCAGTAGGAAAAAGCTGTTGTATATTTCCTTCCTTTTCTGGTGGGGGGTCAGAGGAAGGTTCCCAGATCTAGCACCTCCCAGCACTGCCTCCCTTCATTTGTTCTTGGGGTAGAGCCAAGTCATTGCTGTGGATAAGAAGGAAGCTGCCATCAGTCTGACCTGTGAGAATGTTCAGAGGTAAGTAGGCTGGGAGAGCCAGAGAGCCAGAATTGGGAAGTCAGTCTTTGGGACCTGAACTTGACCCTTCTTCAAGCGTTAAGTATTTCCACTCCCAAGAAGGGAGATGCAAAGAGGGTGGCCTGGCACTGGTTCCACAGGGTTATGAATGGATTATGGGCACTGGGTACCTTACTGGTCCAAGAAGGGTTTGGTATCCCTCCTGGTCCTGGTAGCCAAGACCTCACCTGCTCACCTCGACCTCCCTATCTCTCCAGGCTTCAGTTGCAGGACAGGATTCGGATCATCCTCCTTGATGTGACCCTAGGTATCTTCCTCTGTCCATCTTCCTTGGGGTAGGGATCCTGGATGCAGGTGCTGTTGGGTAGATGATCATGGGTGAGATGGGGATAGTGTTCCCCCATAGTCAGATACACAGGCTATCTCAGACCAGTCCTTGCTGAGGACACACAAGTTGCTATTGTTTCCTTGACGACCTGAACCATGAGAGTACCAGCCACAGGGTCCTTCTTATCTTTTCAGTTCCCTATAACTAATGAGTTTTACTAGGGCTTGCTTGCTGGCAAGAGATAAACAGAAACTCAAAAGAAAGCCTTCAGGATAGAGATACATGCGTGCCCTCCCTGCCTCTGCCTGGCCTGCAAAGTGTCACAGCACTGCACAGAACAGCCTTGGTTTTTATAGTCATTGGCTTTTCAGCTCCAGTTCTGGCTCTGTCCCACTACCCATGAAGTGCTGAGTCTCATATATTCTATCCATGGCATGTGGCACACCTGGTGTAGGACCAAGAAACAAAGACGTCAGTAATTGCTGACTAAGGCCAGGCTTGCCCTCCATGTACTTTCCATGACCATGTTGGCCATAAGGCAGAGTGTGTGGCTAAGTCAGGGAACTACAGAAGATAGGCTTTTGCTTTGCTCAGGCAATCAGGAAGGCTTCCTGGAGGCAGCACTTGAAATGAATCTTGCTTAACAAGGCGATTTTAACAAGAAGGAAAGAGAGCAAGGACACTCTAGATGAAGTGCTGCATGTCAGAGCATGCACACTCCCAGCCAGACTGATGCCTCGGAACTCTGGGTACTAAACTGCAGAGACAAGCTCAAGATGTGGCTTGGTAAGAACTACCCAAGAGACATGGTAGCAGGTGGAGCTGCCACTGTTTAGCTCTCAATAGATCAGTCCATTCTGTGTTTCTCCTTCTTTGACTGCAGAGGGGAGTTGCACACACCTTCTGCCCTGGGGTCCCGTGGACCTGATTGTCAGCAACCCTCCCTACATCTTCCACCAGGACATGGAACAGCTGGCCCCAGAGATCCGAAGGTGCTGCGTGGGGGCAGGATGGGTGGGAGAGGGCCTGAGAAGACCTAGTGGGATTGCTGTACCTTGGAAGACCACATCATCTGGAGGAGATGGGTGGGAACTGAAAGGGGCTGTGGTGTTGGCTTCCATCTTCCCACTTAAGACTCATGCATGACCCCTGACCCTCTCTGAGCCTCAATTTCCTGCCTCTGAGGAGTTGGAGAGCTTTTTATGGCCATAAGGAGGACAACTCTAAAGCATTGGACCTAGTAAGGCCTTGTAGAAGGTACTCAGTAAGTGGGTGTGTCATTTTACAGAAGACTGATGCCCAGAGAGGGAAGGTACCTTGTCTAAAATCCTAAAGGAACTTATCAGAAAAGCAGAACTAAAACTCTCCTCCAGGCTTGCACTGAGCCATCCTACTTCTATATGGGCTGACATCCAGGGGTAGCCAAGAACCACTGAATGAGTAGTGGTAGTGTGCATTGGGGTCCTCATCCCCCCTTTCTGGGCTCTCAGGAATGATCAGGACCAGCTCCAGACTTTTCTAGATCAAGAACAGGAGCAGTCTGTTGTAGGAGACCCTCACATTCTGGGGGCTATCTGTCAGTGGGACCCAGCAAGTGTGCCTGGCACTGCTTGGTTGTGGTGCTGCCCATAGTAAGGAAGTAGGAGCTGCCATCTATTTGGAGACTACCTCCTCTGGGTCCTCACACTTGCCTCTCAACCCAGAGTCTTAAGTTTAAGGGAGTCCCTTCTTGAAGGCCCTGTCCAGTTCCTCCACACTTTCAGATACACATCCCCCCATTCCAGGCTCTCACTGCCCCTTGTTTTCCCACTCAGTTATGAAGACCCAGTGGCCCTGGATGGTGGGGAGGAAGGCCTGGACATCATTACCCATATTCTGACCCTGGCTCCAAAGCTCCTGAAGAATTCTGGGTATGGATGGGGCAGGTCTCGTGGTCTGTCCCTAGCAGCCTCCTCTGCTCTCAGTACTGGGCATATACCATAGCAGTCATCCTGCCTCCACCTGTCCTAGTCCAGGCAACCCAGAAGTACAGGTCCTGGCCCTTCTGAGTTGAGATGATCCATTTCCCTTTATGTAGAAGCATCTTTTTGGAAGTGGACCCGAGGCATCCAGAGCTTGTCAGAAGCTGGCTTCAGAGTCAGCCTGACCTGTACCTCAATCTTGTGGCTGTGCGCAGGGACTTCTGTGGGAGGTAAGGCACTACCCATTCCTCAGTTCCCATGGTCATAGGGGTCTTTCCACTCTCCAGCTGTTCCTATCCCCTGTGCATTCTCTGGGACCAAGGTGGTAACCAGTCCCTCATTCCTATCTCCTCAGGCCCCGATTCCTGCACATCCAGAGGTCTGGACCATAGAGTGGCTGCCCTGTGGATGCCTGGCCAGGGGCCCGGCCTGCATATATGCCTGACTAACCCTTTTTGGAATGATGCTTAGAGGGCAGTGGATGATGCTTTCCAGAACCCCAGGTGCTTGTAGAATTTCCATGTTCTGTGATTCCCCATGCTGTGTATTTTTAGGAGACTTGGAAACAAGAGTAGGGTGTCCTTGGGATAGCAAAGGGCAGGGGCATCTACAGTTTGGCTCAGGAGCTGAGAAAATCTGGGTTTGTAGTCTAACTTCATCACATCAGAGTGGCCAAAGGCAGGTTACTCCATGTTCTTGTCAGTGATATTGCTGTGAAGCTACTGGGAAATATGGCCAATAAAATATTTAGAGAGCAATAAATGGTGACCAGGTGTTTTTGTTATGATTCATAGGTCTCTGATCCCTTACCCCCAGGTAGGGCTGGGAGTCAGAGCTTCCTCCTGCTCCAGCAAGGCTGGCTGTTAGTCCCCATCTGGTGGAGTTGGTGCCCAGTGTGAGGAAGGCACATGGGTGTTCACACCTAATCTTGAAAATCATGAGGCCCTGCATAGAATAACTTACTCCTTGAGTCAATATAGTCTTCCACCAGCCTGTGTGGAAGAAGTGTTACTCACACACATTTCCCTAACTGACCTAAGATCTGAGACAGGAACTTCAGCTCAGGAATGCCTGCCTGCTTCCTGGAGGAGATGGTGCTGAGGGTCTTTGACACAGTTCTGGGGTTGCATGCCCACATTCATTTAACTGAAGACTTGAGCCAATAAGGGTGGGCAGGGCTTTTGTTTACAGTAAGCCCATCTGATTCATTGATTTATTACACATGGCTTTGACCAAATGCAGTAAAAATAAATTAATAAAATAAAAATTTCAAATACAAAAATTTTAAATTCCTGTGCATGCTTTACACAGATCAGTTGATGCAGAGAAGCTCTCAGTCATGCCTGTGTTATCATCAGTTGTGTTTAAATCCTTGTGTGATTTGCCTCCCAGAAAACAAATGGTGCCCAAAAAGCAAGGTAAAAGTTATGGTAATGCTTTCAAACTAAAAAGGGCATGCAATGTTTTTAAGTGATAAAGTTAAAATTTGGGATTTGTTGAAAGGTGTCATGTCTTTAGTGGAAGTTAGGTGGCATTATGAGGAAAATGAATCAAAAAAGAAAATTGAGTTAAGCATCCACAGTAACATGCATCTTGAGCATTCAGGGTTTTCCCTTCAATCATAGTCTCCTTGGAACTATATACTGGGGGATACCAGGGGTCTTGTTTATATTTATTCTCATAACTTTTAGCTAAAGATACTTTCCAAGTTGACCTGGGGTTTCAAATAGCCCATCTCTTCCTAGTTGGAACTGGGGAGAGTAAGAAACCAAGACATCAAGCTGTGACATCTATCTCAGCTCTGGTATGTGCAGATTCATGGCCACCAAGAGGCCCAAAGACCAGCCCTCCTGTCAATAGCATCAGGAGTTGGTTGGTGAGTGCTGGTATGAAGCTGCATCAAGGTGAGTCCTAAGGAGACCAGGCTGGCTCATTCTATCAGACTTTCCCTTGCTCTCGTACTTTCAAGGACCTGCCCTGAGGCCACAGGCAATGTGGTCTAGGCATCATTCCCTGCTAGAGCCAAGGTAACTGAGTTCCAGGGCAATGTATTGCAGTGGGACCACAGGCAGTTCCATTCTCTGTGAGAAGCTGACTTTTCTGAGTCCAAGGGCAATGCTAAGTGGCAGCCTCATCTCATTTTACTTGGTCAGCCAAGTGGAGCATGCATGTTGTCATCTGAATAACCATTGTCCAGGCAGAGAGACCAAGGTGCCAAAAGAAGTCATGGCCTGCCTGAAGTCCCATGATAGGAGGTGGCCAAGTGGAGATAGGAAGTTAAGTCCTTGCCTTAGGGGAGTCTCTGTTTGCTGGAGTCATACTCAGCCTGGGTGATATCTGCTGTTGTGGTTGGGGGGTAAGTTTGCTTTGGCAGAGGCCATACTACAGGTCTAAGAACCCCAGAATCTGGCCCTAGTGTCCTAGCCCATGCCCAGCCCCAGTCATGTGGACTCTGAGTTGCCTCTAGCTTCCTTTGTGGAAGAGCCAGAAGCTTCCCCTCATGGCTGTCCTGAAAGAACCTTGGAGGGCAGGATGGGACATAGCCAGAGCAAGGTTCATCACTGCCTGATCATCCTATGCTCTTAGACCTTTGTCTTCCAGAGCCCTCATGACTATTGCCCTTTCTCTCCTCCTGCCTGTACCCTGTGGCTCTTACTGTCTTAGTGGTACCTAGAACAGCTACCCTCATAGCAGTCTGTTGTCCCCTGGTCCCACAGCCTGGACTATACCTTAGCCAAGGCTGGCTGGCTTTAATAGTCTTACCCTTCTGGCCTCAGGCCCATTACTGAGGGAAGGCCCTGGCAAGCCTGTGGGTATGGCACCCAAGAGAGTATAATGATAGAGAATGATAGGGTAGGGACAGCTGGGGTCATTGGGGCAGCAGTCACCTTTAGGAACAACTTCCTTCCCAGAAAAATGTGGGGCTTAACTCCATTGGGAGAAAGGATCAAGCCAAGTGGACTGGCAAGGCAGGGCCTTGGCCTACAGCTACTGGCTTGATTGGGCCCTAGACATTGAGCTGTGATGCAGGAACCACCCCAGTCTGGGTTCATATCCTGGAGTCTGCCCCTCACTAGGATGTGACCTTGGGTGGAAGATTTCATCTTACTCGGCCTTGGCTTCCAAGCCCTGAGAAATGGGACCATCATGTTTTATTGTATAGAACGGTTGTGAGGAGCTGATGAGATGTACCTTTCTTGCACATTGTGGGTATTTTCATTGCCTGCCTCAAGGATAGAACATGGAGGGAGGGCGTTGCACCTTCTTGTATGTGTCTGGTGCTCAGCACTAACACAGGCAGTCTGAAAAGGAGGACGGCAGGATTTCAGTCCTGGGCCCTTGGCTTCTCTCTGCCCTCTGGAGATGAAGCCACCAAGAGTTTAGTAGCCTGATGGCCCATGTCACCACTTAGTCCCGCCTGACTACGGTCTAAGTGTCCTGAGGCCCAGACCAGGTCAGCCAGTGGCTTCTGCTCAGGGAAAGTCAGGTTCTACCTGCCCTCTCCCCTCCCTTACTCTTGATGCCAGAGCCAGAGACTCTGGCATAGGTCAAGAAGCCCTTGGGGCAGAATAGGACAAGGACATAGAGTTGATGGTGCAGCCCAGGGTCTGCAGTTTCCTGAAATCTTGAGGGATGTACCTACTGCCCCTCAGCTTCCTTCTGCCAGAACTCAGAACCTGGGCAGGGAGTGCAGGAATCCCTGTTGGAAGTACTCTGGGAAAGAAATTCTGTCCCCTCCTCCAGCAGCTGGGGAAACTGTGGCCTTGTCTGACATTTGGATCCTTTTCCCAGATGCTTATACAACTATTTTATTAAAATGTGCCCTCAAACCCCTAACTGTAAGAAATACCCTTTTCTGCTTCTCTGCTCCCACCTGGACCCCGGGCCATGACCTTCCCCCAATCCCTGCCCTAACTCCTTGGCTGACTCTCATCACCTAAGTGTGGTCTGTGTTCTGCAGAGTCTAATCTGAAGAGGTTGGGGAGGACAGCTGTGGGAAAGGTCCTGGGGACTCCTCCCTGGCTCTGCTGGGGCTCTGAGTAGGTTGATATTTAGCCACTACTAAAAGGCTTGAGAACTGCTGGCCTGAAGTAGGAAACCCTTTAACCTCTACAGGCCAGCATGTCTTTCCCCAACTACCTTCAGATACTTTTCTCTGCTGTCCTGGACTTTAGCTGCCCTATGGTGCTGCTCTCTACTCTCTGAACACTCCTTCCCTTTGCCCCAGCCATATACCCATAGGAATACCCTTGTTCACCATTTCCAGTCTTAGTTGTCTCCTCCAAGCTTTGACAAAAAAACGCCACCTCCTTAGGACATCTGTCCTGACTTCTGTGTTCTCTCTGCCTGCCCCCTGCCTATATCTGTGCTGGCATCAATAATATTCTGTCCCATGTATTTGGAAATTTTCCTGTCTTGTTCCTCTCTCTGGGGCCCCCTATGAGTTTGGCATAATCAAGTTCAATAAATGTCCACCAATAAGGTAACAGTATGTATATTTTCTAGAATAGGGGTGGAATTTCCATGTGGGCTACATCTGACCTGACAGCAGGTCTCATGTATTCTAGTCATCAAAGAGGAAGCTGTGAGAGCCTGGCCTCCTGCCTGAGCCAGGCAGCTGTTCAAGTTGAGCCATGACTTCTTCAAGGGCTCAAGTGCATCTGATCCCTGCACAACAGCCACCCCAGGAGAACAGCCTGTCCTTGGCAGCAGGAGGAACAGGCGCCAGGTTTCCTGGAGCTCTTGGCTCTAGGTAGCCCCTAGCCAAAGTGGTGGCAAGGATGGTGGCCTGATCCCGCCTTAAGATTCCTATGCCCTGGACAAGACACTGGACTAGTCCCTGGTCTGGTTTGGGACTAGCAAAGCAAATCTCCTATGGGCACAATAATGACCCCCAAAGATGCCCATGTCTTTATCCCCCAAATCTGTAAGATTACACATGGCAAAAGGAACCGCAGAAGTGATTAAGGATCTTGAGATGGGAAGGTTGTCCTGGATTATTTCAGTAAACCATAAGACTCAGGTAGCAGTATCAGAGTGAGAGGTGTGACAGTGGAAGCAGAGGTGGCTGCATCAGCCATAGGAAACTACTAAAGATTTTGGGGCTCTAGGTAGAGTGCTTGTGTAGTCACTTTGCATTGCTGTGACAAAATACCTGACACAAACAATTTAAAAGGAGGAAAGATTTATTTTGGCACAGTTTGAAACAGTTTCACAGGTTTCAGTCCATGGTTGGCTGGCTCCATTGCTTTTAGGCAGAAATATCATGGAAGAAGGGTATGGTAAAGGAAATCTGCTCACCTCATGACAGCTAGGAAGGAAGGAGAAAGAGAGAGAGAGAGAGATAGGAGTCTAAGGACAAGATATGCTCTTCAAAGGCTCACCCTAGTGACCTACTTCATCCAACTTGACCCTACTTCCTAAGGTTTCTGCCACCTCCCAGTTGCTCCACCAGCTGGGACCAAGCCTTCAACACATGAACCTCTGAAGGACATTTTGAGTCCAAACTATAACAGTACAACTGTAACAAACACTTAAGAATGTAAGTGGCTTTGAAATTGGAATGCGGAAATGGGCAGAGGCTGGGTGAATTTTGAGATGACACATTGCCTTGAACACTCGGTAGAATTCTTCTCCATCTGCCAGCCTGAACTGTGTAAGCCCCTACCCTATGGCTCTATGTGTTTGGAGAGCTGGTCCTTCCCAGAGCAGGGCACCTGACCAGGGTGGGTCCCAGAGAGGCTG